TTTTAATAAAATTTTAAAAATAGCCTATGCTTCCAGACTTTTGGGGAGGGAGGGATTTTTTTGGGGGTGTGTGTTAAATTTTATTTTTATTTTTTTAAAGATTTTTTTTATTTATTCATGAGGGAGAGAGGGAGGCAGAGACACAGGCAGAGGGAGAAGCAGGCTCCATGCAGGGAGCCTGATATGGGACTCGATCCCGGGTCTCCAGGATTAGGCCCTGGGCTGAAGGCAGCACTAAACTGCTGAGCCACCAGGGCTGCCCTGTGTGTTAAATTTTAAACTTCCTCTTTTTCTTTGCTTTTTCTAGGAAATGACTTGGGTCTGGCCCGCGCTGCTGGTCTTTGCTTTTTTGGGATGCTTCTCTGACATTTCCCTGCTTGCTACTTTATGTGCATCTTTGTCTTTCTGCAGCCTCTCTAAGATATCTGTATTTTCAGCTCTGCTGGAATCTAAATTGTTCCAATTGATTGAGAGAACAGTTTCATTTAAGGTCAGGCTGAGAGCCAAGTCCAGTCTGGCCGCTCCAGCCAGTCTCTATCAGCAACTTAGACATGCAGTTCCAAGTGGCCTTGTCAGGGACAAGTGCCTGCTGGTGTGGTGAAGGAGGTACCCCTACAAGAGGGTGAGTGGTGTCAACAGTGCCATTCCCAATGCATGGCATGCCCCATTCTCCAGGTCCTTTCTCTAGCACCCTATACCCAGCTACCTACCCACTGTGTGTGTTTCAGGGGGTGGGCTCACAATTTGTCTCCTTGGGAACCCAGCTGAGGCCTTCTCCAACTCCCCGGCAAGTTCTTGCTCCCTCACTCTTTGCATATGTGTTAAGGCATACGACTTGTCCTGCTCTTGCTCACTTGCATGCCTGTTCTCCCCCTTCATTCATTCACTTGCTCATTCAGTACATTTATTGAGCACCAACTTTGTGCCAAATGCTGTTAAGAGAAAGCAATCAGCAGCGAGCAGGACAAAACCCATCCCTATTCTTGCAGAGCACAGTCTAGTGAGTGAGGCATATAGTTAACCACACACATTTCTTTCTAGTTCCAGTTTGAAGGAAACCTACAGACTGATGTCAGAGGTACTAAAGCAGAAGGACCAAACTGGATTGAGAGGAGAGTGGGGTGGGTCGTCAGGGAAGATCTCTGTGGAGGTGAAAACTGGATTGAGACCTGAAGGACAAATGGGAGTTTCACAAGGTAAAGAGGAAGAACATTCATTACAGGGAATAGTACGTGGGAAGGCTCTAAGGCAAGATGGAGCTTGGTACTCTGGGAGATGAAGAAGCCAACATGGCTGGATCCAGCTTAGAGTCAAGAGAGGGTAGGAACCATTCTGCGCTTCTTTTAGGCCATATTGACTTGCGCCAGGGGTGCCTGGATGGCCAGTTGGTGAAGCGTCTGCCTTTGGTTCAGGTCATGATCCCAGGGTCCAGGGATCGAGCCTGCTCTCCCTCTCCCTCTGCTTCTCCCCCCTCGTGCTTTTTCTCTAATAAATAAATACAATCTTAAAAAAAAAAAAGACTTGCCTCAAGAGTAGTGTGAAGTGGTGGGAAAGGGGAGTGGTATGCTGAGCAGATCTGTGTCTCAAAAAGCTCACTCTGGCTCGCTGCAGCACGTAAACCAGGATTTCTCAGGACCCCTGAGTGGCTCAGGTCATGATCCTAGGATCCTGGGGTTGAGTCCCTGCCTATGTCTCTGCCTCTCTCTCTGTGTCTCTCATGAATGAATAAATAAAATCTTTAAATGTTTAGCAGCATCCCTGGTCTCTATCCACTAGCCGTCAGTGGCACCTTCCTTTCCATTGTTGGAAGCAAAGGGGTCTCCGGGCATTGTCAAATGTCCCCTGGGCAGGGCAGGGAGGGTTGCAAGCAGCAAAACGGCTCCCAATGAGGAATGGCTGTCAAACCATTTATTGTGTTCAGCCCAATCAGTTTTCTCTGATGAAGGTCTGCCTCCCTCCCTCCGCTCTCAGACACGGACATATGATGGACACAGGCACACACACAGGTGCACGTTAGTCTTGACCACAGTACTCTTGCGGGCCATACTCCCCTCTGGCTGCCCAAACACCCACCAGGGTTTCACGTGGGCTAGGGTTTGATGTTCACTTCTCTGGAATAGAACAGGATCAGTGAAGTGTAAATAGTTAATGTTTCACTCTATTCATTTCAGTCTGGTTCTCATTGCCATTCCTGCTAACACCATCTACCTGGCAGGTTAAGCACTCAAAATGTTATTGCTATTAGCAGGAATAGAGCTGCAAACCTTTTTTAATCTGTACAATGAGAGAATACCTGGTACAACTGATTTTTACAGACGTTATCAAATCCTTAGAAACCCATGGTAGGTATGACTTTGGAGAATATTTCTTTTTAAAGATTTATTTGAGAGAGAGAGTGCGCCTGAGCTGGGGCAGGGGGAGGTGGCAGGTGGGAAGAGGGAGAGGCAGGCTCCCCGCTGAGCAGGGAGCCTGATGTGGGGCTTGATCCCAGGACCCTGGGATCATGATCTGAGCAGAAGGCACTTAACCGACTGAGCCACCCAGGTGCCTGATTTTGGAGAAGTCTTGTAAGAGATCAAGTTTGCACAGCTGGTTCAGGATTTTTTCTTTCTTTCTTTCTTTCTTTCTTTCTTTCTTTCTTTCTTTCTTTCTTTCTTCTTTCTCTTTCTTCTTTCTTTCTTTCTTTCTTTTTCTTCTTTCTTTTTCATTCATTAATTCATTAATTTATGAGAGACACAGAAAAACAGGCAGAGACATAGGCAGAGGGAGAAGCAGGTTCCCCATGGGGAGCCAGATGCGGGCCTTGATCCTGGACCCGGAATCATGTCCTGAGCCAAAGGCAGATGCTCAACCACCAAGCCACCCAGGCGACCCACTGGATCAGGATTTTCACTCTCATGTTGCCATGCCTCCTATCCAAGCCCTAGAGGGGTTCATGTACTCTAAATTAGAATCCTGGAATTGGAAGGGAACTGGCATCTATCCAGAGGCTGACACTGGAGCCAGCTCCAAGCCAGCTCAGCCTGACCTCTCCCTTGACCATCTGCCCCTCCCCATTCTGTCTTACTTTAGCTTTATCCAGCTCATCACTCTTATCTGCTGGGGAGGGATCCACATTCAACCTTTAATCCTCCTCACTCCCCATTCCTCTTTTTTTAGTCAAGTACCAAACCAAATGCTGTGTACTATTACAGTTCATCCTCCCAGCCCTGTGAGGGAGCTCCCACCAGCCTCACATCCCTGAAGACACCAAGGCTTACAGCTGGCAAAAGAAGAGCAGGATTTGAATCCCAACTCTGCAATCCTTTACACACTCCGACTTCTGCTGCCTGCTTCTCAGCCAGCCAGCAAGGGGTGGGTAGTATCAACACAGGGTCAACCTCATGTCCTCCAAAAACTGACCTCTAGTGCGACGCCTCTTGTAGTTTGTAAAAGGGGATCTTAAATGTCTCAAAACTCCCCGTTATTCCCCCTTCAGGAAGCACTGACCTAGTCCTTCACAGCTGGGAAATCAAATACGGGGTGATTGTCTGAGCTAGAGTGGGGCCAATGGAGCCAGAACTGGCGCCCAATTCCCCAGCTCCCAAGTAACCGGTATGTATAACCAACCCTCCTGTCCACATCATTTTCCCTTTTCATTTCTAACACTACTCATTTAGGGTTGGGAGAGCAGCTCACTCTGCCACCAGTGCCACCTTTGCCTTGTCCCAACCTATTCTGAATAGTGAGGCTATTTTTAATGCTCCAAAACATCACAACTGCCAATTAGATCAGGTCCCTCTACTTGGGCCCTAGAGAGCACTTTCAGCAGGGTAACACTTAGTGCTATCCACACAGCAGCAGCTCCCAGGTTCCTAGGTTGGTTAGTTGGCATTCTATAGCCCACTCTTCCAATTTCCGGCAAACAGTGGTCCTTAGTCAAACTATAGTCATCAGAGCCTCCTAGTGGGGTTTTAGGTTAGCGTCCCCCATACCATACCACTACTTGCTTCCTCTGCTACATCCAGCAGAGGGTCCTTACAAACTAGATATAGGGTTGCCACCAAACTGGATTCACCTTCATTCCACAGGTAATTAATTATAGGGAACTTTTCCTTCCCTTTTCCAGACATTTGCTCTAGCTTCTGAATTGGCCTATTACTAGCCTAATAGATATTTATCATTTATCTATCCACCAACTAATCCCAAGTACCTAGAACAGTGCCTGGCACATTATCACCCTGTAAATCTAAATTTATTGTCAAAAGTCTTTTTTTTCTTTCAACAATAATGCAGAAATTTAGCTCACAGGCTGCACAAAATCAGGCAATTTGATAACCACTGGTTCAGAGGATTCCTACTTGAAAACTGGCATTATGGAATAGCAGATAAAGATGCTATTTAACAACGTGCTACTTAATTTATTTATTTATTTATTTTTTACGATAGTCATACAGAGAGAGAGAAAGGCAGAGACACAGGCAGAGGGAGAAGCAGGCTCCATGCACCGGGAGCCCGATATGGGATTCGATCCCGGGTCTCCAGGATCGCGCCCTGAGCCAAAGGCAGGCGCCAAACCGCTGCGCCACCCAGGGATCCCCAACGTGCTACTTAAAAAGTGTGCTTACAGGTATGAGGATGACACATATATTCACTTTCCATTATCATAAGGTATAAGAGCCATCAGCCACACAGAGCTTTATAATAATTAAAAATTTGAAAATTGGTTCTTTATTCAAACTAGCCACACTATTTTTTTTTAAAAAAAGATTTTATTTGAGAGAAAGCACATGAGCAGGGGGAGGAGCAGAGAGAGGGAGACATGCTGACTCCCCGTCAAGACCTGAGCCAAAGGCAGACGCTTAGCAGACAGAGCCACACAGGCATCCCCTAGCCACACTTTAGATACTTCATTGTCAAGGGCCATTTCTATCACTGCAGAAAGTTCTATCAGACGGTGCTATGTGAGATCTGACAGGAGGGGGAATTCAGTACTTCACAAATCAGGACACAACAGCAGCTCAGCTGAAAGGTCTCACATTTATTACTGAACCAACCTACTGGTATAGAGGCATGGTAACAGAAAATCATTCCCTTGATAAGACATGTCTATTGGCCAGGTAGGAAGGATGTTTCCATATTGATAGGATAGGAACATGTGATCTCCATGTGGCTTAAATATGTGTACCAATTATGTTTGCTATTTCATGATGTGCGATGCTTCCTCACAGACCCAGCTTGGTTCTTCTCCAGTGTCTCCTCTTGGAGTTGTACCTGCACAGAAAGAAACTGCAGGTTACAAAGACAATCTCACCTCAATTTGTCTGCCCTCAATCACAAACTTTGTCTTTTAAGTACCATAAAATCCTTGAAAGGCAAAGGGTCTCATTTTTTCCTTCCTTGAACAGGTTTGGAGCTCTCTTTGGAAACTAAAAAGTGACTTCCTAATGTGTTTAAGAACTAGTCAAATCAAAATTTTAACCTCTCAAAATGATTCCAAGCTAGGAAAACACACTGGTTCTTGAGACTGGACTAGTGGGGAAGCTCTCTCCCCTTCCAAGAGTATACCTGCCTACTTTTCATTCAACATACCTGGGTAGACCCACACACATTTATTTTGAAATCATCCCTTCCAAGCTTCATCAAAAGCAGCATTTCTACATCATGGATCATACACACACAAAAGCTCCCGTATTAATTTTACAACAGATGAACACTCCCAATCATTTCAATATCAAAACAAGTGATTTGCAGAGCTCAGGCCATGCCAGAATTGTCCATATCAATCTGTCATGATTTTACCCTCATAAAGGCAAAATCAAAAATGATTGACAAACATTTTCTTTCAGCAGGGTAATGTCAGTACTTCCACAAAATGAAGCACTGTAATTGCAACCTGCTTTCAATACACTTTAAAAGTTGCAAGGCACAGCAGCCCCAGAGGCTCAGCGGTTTGGCGCTGCCTTCGTGATCCTGGAGACCCGGGATCGAGTCCCGCGTCAGGCTCCCTGCATGGAGCCTGCTTCTCTCCCTGTCTGTCATGAATAAATAAATAAAATCTTAAAAAAAAAAAAAAAGGTTTCAAGACAGGAGGTAGTATTTCTTTCATTCTGCACAATAACCTGTAATGACGGGTCCCGCCACCAGATGGAGATATGACAGAGAAACCGATGTTCAGTCAATACATTTAAAAAGGGGCTTTACTATGGATGGTCTGATGCTCTCTCAACAGAAATCAATCAAGCTTGTAGAAGGGCTAAGCTACCAAAGGAACCACTTCTCCAAGTGACTCAATACTTTTCCTTAGTATTGAATGGTGGCAACACCATAGGTTTTAAAACCTAGATGCATTTCTAATACAGAGACATCTCCCACACCTATTAATAAATGCCAGTGTTCAGTACACAATAAACTAAAGGTAGCAACTAACTGGCCTATAGGGCTACAGGGTGTGGTGATTTTCACATGTCTTTTGCACTGGCTAAAAGAATTAACAGGCCCTCAATTCACATCTTTGTCTTCACATCAGCAAACTAGTATCACTTAGATCTGGCCCACTCTAGTATCAGCTTAAAAAGGCTTTTCAACCAGAAATTTTGGTAACAGTATTTGCTTTCTCCTCCTTTGTTGTCTTCGGGACTTACTTACTTGGGAAAGCCACAAAATCTAATATTTCATTTCAAACAAACCCAAGTTCTGAAAGCTGTTTAACATGCAAGGGCTGTCACTGGTTGTGAGCCCTCGAGCAAGTTATCACCGATTTTTGATGCTTATTTTTCTTCCTTTGAGACCTGTCTCAAGGTCTACCTGGTCCCCCAAGAGACTGAAGACAACAGGAAATTAACAAATGTTAGAGTGTCTGCCCCTAATCCTAGCTGTAGTGTAGGTTGCTTTCCAGAAACACTGAGGAAGCACGTCAAAAAAAAAAAACAAAAAACAAAAAAAAAACACCACAGAAGAAGCAGGTGGTCGTGGGGGTCCTTACCTGATTTTATTACCAGTTTTCATCCGAATCCACTGGGGAATAGGACGATTCTGCTTTTGTTTCTTGGCCAGGAATCGCTTGATTCTGAAAGTCTTGTGAGAAGACTGGGAAGGAAACGTAATCAATTTAGAGAGCAGAGCTTACTCAAATGATTCAGTCAAGAATGCCCTCAATCCACAAACATTTGAAAGCTTCGTCCATACCAAAAAAAACCACCTTTTCAACGCTAAACCCATCACGCCCTTGGCTCTGTTCCTCGAAACTTCTAAAGGCATAATCCTCCACTGTTCAAATAAAAAGTCACCAAGAGTCAGGAAAGTAAGTAACCTACCCCAAATCAGATTAATGCAGAGCTGGGATTCAAACCCAGGTCATCCATATTCCAGGGCTAGGGTACCTTTCAGTCTTCCTGCTGTCACCCTTGACCCAGAAGACCATTGGGAATGGCTGGGGAACTTGGTTTTCACAAAAGAATACCACTTTTTGTCAACCAGAGCAATCCAGCACTTCCAAGTCAATTTCAACGCACTATGTGAAACAGGAATAGTCAAGGATCACTCCAAGAGTAATTAAGATTTCCACAAAGTCCTCGACATTCAATAAATCTATTCTAACTCACTGACAATCTTTTGAAAAGATCTAAGTTGTGTTTTAGAGACACAGAGATCGCCTGCCTGAGTGTGCGTGTATGGTGGGGTGGTGCAGGAGGAGAGTCCACCAGCAGAGAAGATAGCTTGCTGAGGGTGGAGCCAGATGCAGGGCTAGATCCCAGAACCCTGAGATCATGACCTCAGCTGAAATCTAGAGTGGGCTGCTTAACCAACCGAGCCACCCAAGTGCCCCCCCCACTAACCATTTTGCTATTAATTCTGTACTTAAAATATCATTTCCCAATTTCTCATTTCATTTCTTTTTGGATTTAAGAACTTGGGTCATCCAAGTCCAACCCCAACGCTCTCCCTCCTCAGTTTGCAGGGCAATCCGGAAATGGCAGGAGTGGTAGTCTCAAGTCTGGCCTATGTGGTCCAATATCCATCCTGCACCTTGCATAATAATAGGGGCCCATTATAAAGAAGGTAAAGATTACACTCCTGTCACCCAGCTCACGATGGGACTTGTAAACGTTCTGTCACCTAAGAAAGCACCACTCATCCTCTCCATACCTAGAAGCATCCAGCAATTTTAATTTCTCTGAAAACGATCACAGGTAAAACCAACGACCATTAACTGTCCGCAGCTGGCATTTACCAAGAACGTCCGAATGGCACCCAGATGCACACTACAGCACCCCTCCCTCCAGGTACTTCCACGGGAAGATGCAAAAGTCGCTGAACAAAGGCCAGAAAGTCCTGTAAGCTCATAACCTGGTATGCTCCTGGCCGCCAACTTAAAACAATTTGCGAAAACCAGACCTCGTTCCCTTCTCGATGCCTGGTACGTGTGGTGCGCACCCCACTGTCAGGCCACGATTTTTGGAGTGAAGCCCCCGACTTCTCTTCCTGCCCCAGAATCACAGTTCGTTACAAAGGGGCAAAGGTGGGATCCCTGGGTGGCTCAGCGGTTTAGCGCCGCCCTCAGCTCAGGGCGTGATCCTGGAGACCCGGGATCGAGTCCCACATCAGGCTCCCTGCATGGGGCCTGCTTCTCCCTCTGCCTGTCTCCGCCTCTATCTCTCTCTGTGTGTCTCTTGTGAATAAATAAAATCTTAAAAAGGGGGGGGCAAAGGGCAGTGGAAACCCGTGCTAGCCTGGGCGGCGGCCGGGCGCACAAAGCACCACCGTCCGGACCTCGCATCGCCAGCGCAGCCCGCCTCGACTCGAGCCTGCGAGCTTTCCGGGAAGTGGAGCGGAGGCCAAACTCGAGCCGCTCTGCAGGGAGCCTCAAGGAGGCCCGCGCACCTCGACGCAGCGGGCGGCACCGGCGAGCTCTGGAGATCTCGGCTCTCGGCAACCCGGGCCCGAGCCGATGGTAACGGATGAACTTACCATGGCGATCACAGTCAACGACACGCAACCAGGATGGCGGCGGAAAGGAGAGAGGAGGAGATGGGCGGAAGCACGTATTTAGAAGACGTCGCCAAGGGCGGAGCTTAGGCGTGTGCACGCCGTAGGCCCCTGGCGGCTCCCCGCGGCCTCCCTCCCCCGGCACGCCCGCGCGGGCTCCGGTGGGAACCTGGCCGAGCGCGCTGGTCCGAGCGCAACGGAATTCGCTTAGCACCACTTCCGTAAGTGGGTTCCTCGGGAGCCCGTCAAGTGTGCTAAGGGCACCGCGCCTTGTGCCTTGTGGGCGTGGCGCACGGCCCGTGGTAAATGCCCGAGTGGTAACCCTTCCGCAGGCCGAGTGAGCAGGGTGGGCGGGTTTCGCTGAAGGCGGGCCGGGGAGACGTCACGTCCGAGTGCAAGGGACTTCCCGTCCTGGGCTGGCCCCTGGGCTGGCGGGGAGGGCTGCGAGGGCTGCCCTCCGCCGGGTTGGGCCTGCGGCACCCATCTCGGCCGTATCTCGACCTCTTGAAGTGGTTTCCACCTGGCTGGGCCGCTGGACGGGAAGGGATGGTGATGATGGAGGAAGCAGGAGAGGGCGGCGGGGCCTGCATTAGGTGGGTCCGGTAAGCCTAGGCCAGAGCTGAGAAAGTTCGGGACAACCTTTCCCCCAGCTACTAGGGGTCCCGGGCTCTTAGCCCGCTTTACAAAATGTATAGGAATTGTTGGCATACGTTTTGGATGTTAATGATCCCCGTTTTCGTGTTTTGCTTCTCCACATTGAAAAACAAAAACCTCTATGTATCTTTGCAGTCACCTCAGGCAGTTTTGCACCAGTAGATTAAGGTAAGGGTTTTTAACCTGGGGTCCACAAACAGTCCATGTATAGAATTCACAGGATCCATGAACTTGGATGGTGGCGGGGGGGGGGGGGAATCACAACTTCGTTTTTATCAAACTGTTTGAAATGTAGCGCTTTCTTTCTTTACAGACACGCAGCAAACTGTAGTGGGTGGCATTAACAGTACCTATGACTTGGTCACCAGTAGAAATCAAAGATGGTTTCATATCACACTGCAGTTGATGGACACGTCTTGAAATATCATTTATACACTCATCACTTTTTTAAAATTATAGTACAGTTGACCCTTGAGCAACATGGATTTGAACTGCATTGGATCCACTTATAGGTGGATTTTTTTTTCGATTAATACAGTACATACAGTACTATATGTATTTTCCCTTCCTTATAATTTTCTTTTTTTCTTCTTGAAAGAGAGAGGAGGCGGGGGCTGGGAATGTGCAGAGGGAGAAGGAGAAAGACAATCTTAAGCAGTGTAGAACCCATCGCAGGGCATGATCAGGCACCCCCTTATGATTTTTTTAATGGCCTTTTCTCTGGCTTACTTTGTTACAAGGATATAGAATATAATATGTATAATATATAGAATATGCAGCTGTTTATGTTATCTGTAAGGCTCTGGTCAGCAGTAGGCTATTAAATTTTGGGGGAGTCAGAAGTGACATGCAGATTTTCCACTGTGCAAGGTTGATTCCTCTAACCACTGCGTTGTCAAAGGTCAACTATAGTTATTAGACCCATAAGTAGAACTGTGTTAAGCCTGTATGTTATTGTAGCACACATTTCTTTTAGAAAATATTTTGATGACTATATTCCAGTGCATTCGTTTTCTTTGTAATCCTATGTACTTTGTTTTATGCATTTAAAAACATTCTGAAAATAAACTTCGTCAGACTGCCAGAGGATTCCATGCAACAAAAATGGTTGGGAATCTCTTAATTGGAGTATAGTGACAGATGGTAGAACAAACAAATTAGTAGGAGACTTTGGAAATATTCTGGGTGAGAAATGATGCCCCATGGGGCACCTAGCTGGCTCAGTGGGTAGAGCATGTGACTCTTGATCTCAATGTTGTGAGTTTGAGCCCTACGTTGGGTGTAGAGATTACTTAAAAATAAAATCCTGAAGAAAGAAAGAAAGAAAGAAAGAAAGAAAGAAAGAAAGAAAGAAAGAAAGAAAGAAGAAAGAAAGAAAAAAAAGAAAAGGAAAAGAAAAGAAAAGAAAAGAAAAGAAAAGAAAAAGAAATGATTACCCAAAGTAAAGTAGTCCCCAGGATGTTGAATAAGAATAAATAAGATCAAGAGATGATTGTGACATTAACACGACTTGGTTTCTAGGTTTCTTTTCTTTTCTTTCTTTCTTTTTTTTTTTTTTTTGTATAGAAGATCCCAGAACAAGGAAAGTTCAGTGCACTCCGGGAAATGTTAACCCAAAGATCCAGAGGCATTTCCTTCACCGCGCGTGTGTTTCTCAGGTCCGGGCGCTGGGGCACGCACTGAGCAGAGCTGCTGGTCCTGCCCCTGGTTTCTAGGTTTCTGTCTTGAGCAACTGGATGCTGGTGCCTTAGGTCTGGAGAGGAAATACACAAACAATAGGAACCTTGAGCCCAATATAATAACCATTTTTTTAACAGCAAAAGTTTAGTTACTTTAATCCCATCTAGTTCTTTTTAAGATTTTATTTATTTATTTGAGATTGGGAGAGAGAGAGAGAAATAGAGAAAGAGTAAGAGCATGCTCAAGATTAGGGGGAGGGAGAAGCAGACTGCCCGCAGAGCAGGGAGGCGGTGAGGGGCTGGATCCCAGGGCCCTAGGATCATGACCTGAGCCAAAGACAGACATTTAACTGACTGAGCCACCCAGGTGCCCCAATCCCATCCAGTTTTTAAATTCAGACTATCATCCAGATAAATTTACATTTAATTAAAGTGAGACCTTGGACTTCTTTTTAAAAATTTTTCTTTAGATTTTTTATTTATTTGAGAGAGAGAGAGAGCTGGAGTAAGAGCAGGGTAAGGGGCAGAGAGAGAAGCAGACTCCCTGCTGAGACTCCCTGCTGAGCAGGGAGCCTGATGTGGTTGACTCTGGATTCCGGGATCATGACTTGAGCCAAAGGCAGATACATAACTGACTGAGCCACCCAGGCATCCCGAGACCTCAGACTTCTAAATCTCGATTTTTACTGTTTATTTGAGAGCCAGTATTTTCTTTTTGGTGGCCCAAAAGAGCAGCAAATAAGCCTTTAGTTGGTAAATGATCATCATCTTCATCATTATAGCTACCATTTACCTCGGATTTAGGGTGGAAATAACACTGTGCTAAGAGGTTTTTTTTTAAGATTTTATTTATTTATTCATGAGAGACAGAGAGAGGCAGAGACAGAGGCAGAGGGAGAAGCAAGCTCCCTGCAGGGAGCCTGATGTGGGACTTGATCCCAGGACCCTGGGATCACAACCTGAACCGAAGGCAGATGCTTAACCACTGAACCACCCAGGCGTCCCTATGCTAAGAGCTTATGTAAATCATCCTTTTTATTTTTTTAAAGATTTTATTTATTCATGAGAGACACAGAGAGAGAGAGAGAGAGAGAGAGAGAGAGAGAGAGGCAGAGACACAGACACAGGCAGAGAGAGAAGAATCCTCCATGCAGGGAGACCAACGTGGGACTCAGACCCAGGTCTCCAGGATCAGGCCCTGGTCTGAAGGCGGTGCTAAACTGCTGAGCCACCTGGGCTACCCATCATCCTTTTTTAAAAAAAGATTTTATTTATTTATTTGAGAGAGAGAATGAGAGGGAGCACAAGTCGGAGGGGGGGTGGGCAGGGAGCTTGACAAGAGGGGACCCTAGGACTCTGAGATCATGACCTGAGCTGAAGGCAAACACTTAACTGACTGAGCCACCCAGGTGCCCCTTAATCATCTTTTTTCTTTTTCTTTTTTAAAAGATTTTATTTATTCATCTGAGAGAGAGAGAGAGAGAGTGCAAGTGGAGGGGGGCAAAGGAGGAGGGAGAAGCAGAGTCCCCACTGAGCAGGGAGCCTGATGTGGGACTCAATTCCCAGAACCCTGAGCCAAAGGCAGATGCTTAATTGACTGAGCCACCCAGGTGCACTCCCCCAAATTCTTTTTTGCTGTTTTAAGCTGCTTTATTAACTTCACAATATATAATGAGCATCTTGCCATGCAATAAGGTAAAACTTCCCTGCTAACAGAATCTTACAGATTGGGTCAGAATACAACATTCAATTAGAAGCTGGTAATGTGGGTGCCTGGGTGGCTCAATCAGTTAAGTGTCTGCCTTCAGCTTAGCTCATGATCCCAGGGCCCTGGGATCCAGCCCACATCAGGCTTCTGCTCAGCAGAGAGTCTGCTTCTCCCTCTCCCTTTGTTCCTTCTGTGCTCACATGATCTTTGTCTCTCCCTCCTCTCTCTCAAATAAATAAATAAAATCCTAAAAAAAAAAAAGCTGGTAATAGGAGACCCACAGGAGACGTGTAACAAAAGGATTACAACAAAAGTGCATTGAGAACATGTAAGTTTAGGAAGCAGGTGTGCCTTCCTATTAATTTCAGGGAAAATGTCAGGATTCAAGACATAAAGCAAACTTCATCATAATGGTCCTGGTGAGGAGGGTCAGCAATAACCACCCACAGACTGACTGAATTGCTTCCCCCTCTCCCTGTCCCCATCAGCTTTTTCCTCAGCTGTCTCCCCTTCTTCCCAATCCTTCCCATATTCTCTTCTCTCATCATTGCTTGCGGCTCTCCAGGCCTCTGAATCGGGGCCCACCTATACTGCAGGTTGGGCTGCTTAACAGGGAACCGCCTGAGATTTACTCTGGGCCCACAGTATTCACTAGCTTGCAAAGGGGGAGGGCAGGGGCTCTTCTTTATTGGCAGCTTGCTCCTTTTCATCCTTTTGTTTTGTTTTCCTGGTTTGCATTTTCCACGTTGAGATTTTTCACTGTTTGTTCCTCTTTGGATGCCATTGGTCCTGGGCCTATCCTCGTGGGATCCTCCTCTTGCTCCCAGCTCTTGCCAGGAGTGCATCTCTGTGCCACTTAGACCAGCATACCAGCTCCCCCTCCACCTCCTACTCTTTGGCCTGTGACCCCTCAGGGCCACCAGGAGCAGGTACGGAGAAGGGTAAATCATCTTTTTTAACTCTCACAGCTTGATAAGGCGCTCTTCATCCTACCAGGTTTTCCTTCTACGTTGCACACTATCCACTGTGAGTTCCTTTTGCTGATTCTTCCTTATCTCAATTCCTTTTTAACTTTGGAGAGCC